ATGCCATCGACTGCCTTTTCCTCTGTTTTCCTTTATTCCTCTCTTTCTTATTCAGTGCTTACATTTTTGGCAGTCGCAGGAGAGTATTAATTTGCAGCCCATTTCTCTCTTAATGGCAGTGAGTGTGTGGGTGGGTGTGTTTCTTCTGTCTCCACAGTATCAGAGAGAAGAAAAAGATGAGTCAATGATGCCAGCATACTACTCTCAGGGCCGCTCAAAGATCCTCCGTGTTTTTAATCACCAGCAACTCTAACATCTAATTAATCATTAACATTTCTCCTGCTGATCCGCGGCCCTCTGGGGGCACCTAGCAGAACATCCCTCTCTCTCACATTATCTTCGTTTGTGCGTGCGTGTGCATGTGCGGCGAGTGTGTGTTTCACTTCTGAGGCAGGTGGATTGGGTGGTAGTTAGGACACCAGTGACTGTAGGTGAGGCTATTAGTATGCCGGAAAACATCTCCTGCTCTGCAGCAGTTCTGACCAACGGCACATGCTAACGTCAGGATTGTGTTGTCGCCAGTGACGGACAGGACTGGACGGCATGAGGCGACATGAACAGAGGGAGGGATGGGATATTTCATCTGCTTTTATGAAGCTTCACTTCTCAGCACAGCCGTCCAAATTGGAGTCCCAAAGCAGTTTACAGGGGGCTACGCCTCTTTCTTTCCAAGTTGAGTGGAAACATCTCAATATTTGGTGGCTGCTCACAACATTTTTAGTTTGCTGTTGCTGTTCTAAAACTATTCAGCAGGTGGAGTGAGAGTAAAAAAACAAAAACAAAAAAAAACCCCTAAAATTTCCTCTATAACCATTCTTATTATTGAAAACCCGTCTTGCATTTCAGTGCCGTAGACGCATGCATGCATTCAAGCAAATAAAAACCCAGGATCCACTTTCTTCCCATATAAATATATTTGTAATTGAACCTACAGTTGAGTAAGAACGCCACATTACTACATCATATATATTCTATGTTATTATGAGTAACGTGGCAGTTTTGATTTTAGATACCTAACCCAACTACACTAAACTCGTGGAAATCTGAATGCCGGATCACAAAGACCTTTCAACAAAAATGAGGTTTGATTGAATGCTGGACTTTGCAGTTTTCTCACAGTATAAAAAAAAAACTGAACACCTCAGCCAGGATTAACAGAAAGATAAAGCAAATATATAAATAAATAAATAAATAAATAAAAACAAAGAAAGAAACAATTGAAAAACAAGAAAAAAATGTATTTTAAATATGATATTTTAAAATGTAGATGCTTAAAAATTTAAGATGATTCTTTAACGCTGTGGGAATATTAATAGGAGTCCACTAGCATTGCCAAGTTTCTAAAAGCTTTGCACAAATATAAAGTCTTAAAGAGGTTAAATGCATTTTTCCATTTGATAAATTATGCCAATAAATATAACCTCCTGACAGATGAGCATGCTTTTAAAATTGGATCACTGAGCACTTTTATATCCCTGAATATAATTTAGATTTTTTTCTCTCTCTTGAATCATTTTCTTTGCTGGTGCATTCCTCCTGGTGTCAAACAAAATTTAGCAAAACCACATACGGACGCACGTCTTAAACTTAAGGCATTGCAGTAGGTAGGCTGCGTTCACTGAGGAAGTATTCGGATGTTAGATGTGGGTGGACACCAACTGGAATCGATGCTTAAATGTTAATGGATTTGGTTTCTTATTAAAAAAAAAAACCCGTCCTGACTGTAAAATGTCAGCATGTGAAAAGAACCTGCAAGTGAAACGTTTTTTTTTTTTTTTTTTTGGTTTCTTCTGATGAGCTCTCTCTTTTTGAACTGAGTGTTCATATTATGCTCACTGTGTGAATTAAATATTGCAGCATTTTTAGACGGACATGTGAAGCCTCTTCACTCGAACACAGTCAAGAATGAACACAATGAATTATTGAACCTCTTGTGAGCTATAAATGAAATGAATGCTTGAAAAACCTTGACTTTGTGTAACCAGGAGTCCTTGAGCTGAGCTGGTGTATTCATGGAGCGTGACCTGCACCTTCAAAGCTAAAAAAAAAAAAAAAAGGGATGTAAATGTGCTTCTAACTGAAAAATACGCCATAGTTTGGCAGTGGTAAGACGGTAGCATCTGTTGAAAATAGAGGGATAGGGGATTTTACCTCAAGTCAACGAAATGTATTTAAAAATGTTTCCCCACTTCTATCATCCCCAGCTCTTTGTTTCCATCCTCCATCCCCTCACTTCCTGTTGCTCCCATAACTCTGCTCGTCGACACCCTCTCTCAATTTTTTTTCTCTCTCTTCTTTCTCCTCTTCTCTTCCCCCTGCTCTGTGTGCAGAGGACAGGCGTACACTTCACTGCCAGCAGTGATTTATACCGCTTAGGCAAATGAGTGTGGCTTACAGCATGTTGCTCCTTTTTCTGCTTCATCAGTACACATTGCGCATAACGCTGGAGCAGGTTGGAGCCTGTAGGCAGACATACAACCACTGAAATTGATCTAAGAGACATGCTGGAGGGGTTCCTCCACAGCACAATGGGCTGATGTGACTCATTTGTGTGTTTTGGATGTAGTGCGGCGTGTAAATGGGGGGTGCCGGTTTTGTAGTTTGTCCTCAACAGATACTCGTGTTTTCCACCACGACTAAATTTGCAGGCTAAGGTCACTCATTGACTGACTAGCTAATCACTAGCAGCACTAGAGGTGGGGAAAAATTGGATTTACTATGCTTTCCTCATAGATTTAAAAAAAAAAAAACCTTCTGTTGGTGAAAGATTGGGGATGTTTAAGAATTCAGATGAAGAAATGTATTTATTAGCTTGATATAGTGAAACCGAATGGCACCACAGCTATGCCACATGGAAAACTATTGGGAAAACCTCGGCGCTAATCGTATTCAAGGGCATTCCTAAAACTTTGGTATCACTTTTACGCGAGACCTCCGTCTTCTAACAAGCTACTCTCTAAACCATCTTAAGACCCATTTGAAAGAGGTTCCTACTCAAAACAACATTACTGAAAGTAAATTGTGAAAATATTTGATATTTACTGATGAGGAAGTGAGTTGTTTTGCCCAATTTTGCCAGCAAAGTCCATCTGAATCGGTCTAATTGTTGCCAGGAAATAGACTGCATCACACCATCTGCAGAGGGCTTCAGTATCCCAAGTAAAGCTGTGGCTTTATGAAGTGCCAAAATTTGCATAATCACATTCCCCCATCAGTCCTTACTATATCTGTATATGGGTACATGTGTATATTTTATAGGGAGTGAAGTACGAGCATTTAAATATGAATGCATGTAAGCATGGACACATGCAGTACGTGAAAGTAGAGCGATGGTGCTTGTATGTACATACAAAAAAATATGAAAAAACTGATGAAAAAACTGAAAACACATAAGCTAGGCTAAGCTAGAGCAAAATAAGTCAACTGAAGATTATTACTACTAAATAGAAGACGTGTGGTTAGGTATCGAACACATTTCTTAAGTGCTTTGGGTGTAACAAGTTAGGGGCCATTTTTCTATTACACACAACAAAACACCAAAACTAAGTAGGCAATAGCTCAGTGGGCAGACATGAGTATTTTATGGCCCATGTGTCACATTGTATATCCTTGAACGGCGACTAGCAGGAAAGTTTCAAATCCAACAGACACAAAGATGTACTTCTGCACCAAAATCCAGAATTGCTGCTTCTATTAAAAGTATATTTTTAAAGCCGGAAGTTATATAAGCAACCTCGTACAATCTTTCAGCTGAGCGGTACAGAGCAGGATCTGTACCAGTAAACAAAAAATAAAGTGAGAAATAAAGAAAGAAGTGTCAGCTTACAGTTAAAAAAGAGATAATGATACAGAATGTAGATTTGCACCAAGATGAGGACCCACGTATTCTTTCTTTTTCTTTCTTTTTTTTTTAACTGAAGTCAAAGTTAAAGTGCCGAGCTCAGTTTTGTAAAAGATAAATATTTGTGTTAAGTAAATATTGAGTAACCTTTTATTGATCAAATGCCTACTGTTATCTGACGAATAAAATATATTTATAGATTATGTATACACGGAAAAATTGTGTTCATCCTACAATCTGGTCTTGTCATCAGTTACGGATTCCTCTGTTTGACTCTGGAAAAAACATCTTCCCACTTCCAATGCGAAAGGCGTTCACAGATATGAGAGTTGACTGTAGTTTTAGGTTACAATATGGCAAGGATGTTATCTTAGTTGGAGAAACCTCTTCACTTTTACAAAACAAGTACAGCGTATCCAGGACTGTTGTCTGCCACCAACATTGTTTGGTTCTAAAAGTTTGGGTCTCAGGGCTTTTGCTATTATGTTTCTATATAGAAATAAAAGACAATTCAAAGTCTGATAAAACAAAAACTTCAACAGCTTGGGAATTGGCTTTGGACAATACATTTTTCCAATAGCATCATTATGTGTCTAATGTGAAGAAGCTTTGTGGGCGCATTATCTCTGTAAGTATCTGTTTTTAATGTTCATTTGGTAGAAGTATTGCACAACGTGGAAATTATGTAATTTCTCTTCAGACAGTCACATCGGCGTTCGATGCCTTCTGAACATCTGTGCGACACAGGAGAGAACATTTATCACAGACCCAACAGTGGGATGTGCTTCTTCAGAAAATTTTAATATTCTTGTTAACTACAGAATTTGTGCAGATTGAGTAGTGAAACTGCAACATGTTTGATTTTGCTGCAAGATGCTTTGCTTTATTTTCCCAAAGATGCTACACACATAAAGTAAACATTATTTCTGATTGTATCAAACAAAGCTTTTTTCAATTTTTTTTTTTTACTGTGAAATCACAGCATTTTTATATAAAAAAAAAAATCACAAAAAACAAATAAACTGACCTGTAGGTCCGATCAATAAGAGGATGCCAGTTTCATACTGATTGGTTAATTCAGAATGTGTGTGTGTGTGTGTGCGAGTGTGTGTGATGGAGTCATATAGTTAGGATAAAAGAGGCGCTGCCCCATGGATACCTGTGACCTGGTCGACAAGGATACGGGAGGTGATGATGCGTCCGTACTGGGAGAAAAGCTGCTCCAGCTCCTTCTGGGTCATGGTCTTGGGCAGGCCGCTCACATACAGGTTGGCGTCACGGATGGAGGCTGAGCTGGGCCGTGCATACGACACCTGGAGAGGACAGCAAACACAGACTATGATACAGGATTTTAATGAGTGATCAATATGTTAAAACCAAAGTTTTAAATGTACTGATCTTGTGAGTGTGTGTGTGTTCTGTGATTGGAAACGGCTGTGGATCATTAGATCCACAGGGAGGAAAATGAGGCTTTATTTTCCTCCTTGCCTTGGGGATTATCATTGTTAGGAAAAGATTTAGCTGCTTTGAATCCCAGAGAGGAAACACTTCATGCCTCAGTCAGTTGTTTGCAGGGGAAGGTATAGGAAACTTAGCCCTGAAGAAAAAAAACACAGGTGGCTCTACTTTGAAAAGACATCTCAGGATAACAACAAAAGACTCACTTTGTTGTTTATTTTCGGCATTATTCAGAATGAAAACATGTCTGAATGCAAAAGAAAAACATTGATGTCTTAGGCTGTTGTATATCCTGGTGTATTAGACAACAAAGTCATTATTAGACTAATGCTTCATACAAATTATTCCATTAACTTTTTTGTTTGTTTTTTTTCCGGTGAGTTTCCACCATATCTTCTCCTTTCCGGTTGTGATACATCATCAATCCTGTTACTACTGCTGCTGACTGAAGCAGCTTTACCTTCTAATACTTTCATTACCCCTGACAGGCAGAGACACAAGTCATCAAATAAGGTGAAAATCAGACAAATATGCTGGATATGCGGCCGTATCCTTGAGCAACAGCATGGAAATCCTGCTTGTGAGAGAATAGGATTGGGAACAGCTGGCTTTCACACATTTCCCTCTTCAGCCTATCTGCTCAGCTCCTCTGTCTTCTCCTTCCTCCCCTGCAGCTCTCTCCCTTTTCCCTGCCTGGTTATTTTCCATCGACTTCCTTCCTGCGTGCTGCCTCACTAAACCTTTCCAGAACGCGTCTCTTTTTACCCCCCCGCCCCCGCCCCTCCTCAGTCTCCTTCTTCTTTTTTTTTTTTTTTGGTTTTTCCTCTTTTCTTCACTGTACAGCTCTCCCTCATTTTCTCTCCTTGTCAGCCAACTCCAGATGTCTAATCCATCAACACCTCCTCAAGCTGTGAGCAGCAGCATTGTGCCGTGCGATGCATGTGTGAAACAGGAGTGTACGTGCGCTGCTTGTGTGCAGGAAAAAGTTTGAAAAACTAAGTGTGAAGATTAAAGTAATCACAAAGCAATCACAGGCGCGCGCTGGATAAACGTGTCTCAGATTGTGTGCACACGTGTCACTGTGAGCTCCTTGCACCTTCGGTGCGCAGCTTCCCCTCACACCTCGGCGGGAAAGCAGCACCGCTGACAAAAAAACGGAGGTGTCACGACGAAGGAAGCTGCATAAGTGAAACCCAGTCAAAGGCACATTGCCCGGGAGAAAGCGACTCGCCGGACTGAGCACACTGGCAGCGAGTGGGAAGGGTGTGACATGAAGAATGACAAACATAATTTTAGAATTACTGCGCTGCCTCTTAATTAACCTTGCTGCCTTTAGGGGTGGGGGGGGAAGATGGGGTTGAGTCTGTTGTGGGAAGAGACGGCAACGAAAGAGGGTAGTGGGAGGAAGGAAATTAAGTGTGAAAGAGTGATAGTGTCAGATGGAGATGTAGTGTTGTCTTCTGTCATGACAAAGAACCTCCTTTATCTCAGGAACAACTTGAGGCAGTGTCTTGCGTCACCAAGAGTGTAAAAGAGAAAAATCTGTTAACGCAGACTGTAGCACCGTGCAAACAGCCTTAAACTTCCATTTTTATCCACTGAAAACACACGTTTTCACTTACTTCTCCATGTTGACTGCTTCGCATTGTACGCTCCCCCCCCACACACACACACACTTCTTGTATGTGCTGACCACTAGATGGCAATTACATGCCTCTGCTTTTAAAGGGCTTCAAACATTTTCTGAACTAAAATAAGAATCCGAAGGCCTGTGCTGAGACGGAGACCAACATCAGGATTGTCATGGAGAAAATAAGAATTTTTATAGATTCAGATTTTGCTTTGTTGTTTTTCATTTTATTCTGAAAATGTTATGACATGAAGTACCCATGAGGGTGTTAAAGTACATATTTCTATAGTGGTTATAGTGCAACCAGGAAAAAAAAAGAAAAACACAGTGATGCAGAAAGGAATGACGAAAGGTTTGCAACAGTCACAAGAATGAATGGATATAAACTCATGTCTCCATCTATTGATAGATGGTCAAAATGAGGAATGAATGAATGAATGAATGAACAAATCGACTGATGGATGAATAAATTTAATTTTCAGGCAACTGAACAGAGATTGAATGTCTAAATGCATTTTTTTTTCATACTCTTTCCTCTTTTCTCGCATTTATCCAAATCAGTCAGACTCAATACTTCTCTGTACTTTTCCAGACTGGCCAGAGCAAATTTCACTAAATCTATTTGAAAACACTTGCAGCTTGCAGTAATAGGCAGATTTAGTTTGTGTCACTTGTTAATATTACTGTAAGGCTCCTGAAACAACCTCAGTTAAGTGCCTTTAATCTCAGCTCAGATTTACATGTTATGTTTCACAGAATACCTGACATCCATTACAAACATATCGACTCATTACGAGTCTCGCAAATGACAAACAGCGACGTAAAACTACTGACAGAATCCTTCACTGAACAAAGGCCAAGTCAGGCTGTTTATGCTATCAAGGGAACGAAGGGAATCTCTGTGGGATTTCCCGCGTGCAAACAAGATAATCCCATCCTATTAGATTACATTAGTCTGGACTAGACCAGATTAAATAGGATGACAGAAAGCGAGAATCCAGGGATTGCGGAAGAGCAACAGATTACGGCCCCTCTTAACTGCAACACATCAGCGGGCGCCGCTCACATGGGGATATGAGATGGGAAAATTAGATCAGCCTCATGTTGTGACAGCAGCTGCAGAAGAAGTGCATTCAGGTCTTTGCTTTTTTTATTTTTTTTTGCATTAAAATGTATTTGAATGCAGGACTGTGCTGTTTTTGTTTTAGACCCATCCATTTTACCTCGGTGACAACCAAAACGCTGGGCTAATTATCCTGAAAAACACTCGGTGACGAAACGGGTTTAGAGTGAAATGGATGTTTCTCCTATTTCACTCAATGATATCTGTATAATTTCACCTTTACAGTTTGACATTTAGGAAGGTAATTAGCACATCAACCACAGTCACAAGCTATTTAAAAGGTGTCACTTTGATTTAGATGGTCTTTTTATTTCTCTTGGCTAAAGCACATTAATCCAATCTCGCCCGGCAGCACATTCTATTCCAGCATATCGGAAAGGCCTCTCAGGCAGAAGAAAGAAGCGTTGCAATTTAGCATGACCTCCATAACTTTGTGAAGCGCATGCTAAATAAGTTGACTTCCTTTCTTTTTGTGACCCAGATGTAAATAAATGAAGACGGCGTTAATTACCTTGATTGTTTTCGTTTGAAGTCTGAGTCCATTTAATGTGTTGATGGCTTTCTCTGCATCCTTTGGGTCAATGTAGTTGACGAAGCCGTAGCCAAGACTCTGCCCTAAAATTAAACAGAAAAATTATGGGAAGCAAAGTTTTATTGTGACATTTTTTTTTGTTGTTTCTCTGACATTGAATTTAAAATGGTTAGTTCAGTTCAATTTATGTTGGTAAATTGTCAACATTAAATACAGGAAACAACAAAAAAAAAGTAGCAATAAACAAAGCCACAATTTACCAAAAAACATGAATAGGCTGAAGCCAAAGCCTTTACTTATCTACCCTGTTCATTAACTTAGCAGCTAATCGTCATAAAAGATATCTTCAAACAAACATGCATGTATATACATGTATAAATATGTATGCACATATTTTTTTTTTACAAACATGATTACACAATACAAATATGAATCTACATAACAGTATAAGATTTTATCATTTTACATTTTAAGGCTCTTTTTAACCTACATAATTTCTGAACACCAAAAGGGAGATTTCTGTTCAGTGGTTTATACATTATTCCCAATATTTAAATGGGGATAATCTTGACTGAGACCTCTGTTATTGCTTCTTCATTTCCTGTGAACCAATAATCTGAAGAAGGAGCTAAGATTATTGCCTTTGCAAAAAATTATTTCGGCACATTTGTAATTTAAGTGACTGATTCTCAAAGGTAGAAACATTTAAACTCTTCATATTGCACTCATGAGCTTCGGTTTTCCGTATGTGGCGACGCTATTTGTAAAACATAATGGCTCACTTTGAGTTAAAATAACAACTTCAGCTGTGTGATGAAAGATTTACAGTATTTTGTTAACGTTACTGCAAAAACGGAAGAAAAAAAAAAAGCCAAATCCCACACCTCCTCTCCTCTAGAGTAAGTGTGTTTTAAACTGCGGACTCCCTCTGAGAGCCGGGCAGGCCTGACATCTCTCAGTGTTTCCCCTGTGGATCAAGCCTTTCAACAGGCTTAGGACTTTTAAAAGTGGACGCCTCCAGCCATCAGAGGCTGTCCTCTGCCGATTTTCAGCAAACACCCTCCCCCCCCATTCACTAATGCCACACACAAGCTCCAAGATTCCCAGGCAGTTCAAGCAGAGCAGCATGTGCATATTCACTGCTAATGGGAACAGACAGCGGTTAGTCAGAGACAAAGTGAATCACAAAACATGGAGCATGGCTCTTTCACAAAATAAATACTTTTGGGCTATGGATATCACAGCGCAGAACAGCTCAGAAGAGAGCAGGGGAAGAGCCAGAAGGGACTTGTAGTCCTAACATCAAACAGCTGATGATTTTTCTCTTCTTCTTCTCCTCCTCTCCTCCCTCTTCTCTGCTGGATTAACGGTGGATTATCAGACACTCTATTGTTAATTAAAAACCTGCCGTCCTGGAGAGACCACTGCTATTTATATCGAGTCGTTCTTCGTTCACTCTTCCTCTTGGACTCTCCGCTCACTTCAGGTGTTGAGTTTGGCAGTTTAAATATAAGTCTGAGAGAGCCGTCCTTTCAGCTTCAGGTTTTTATTAAAACGTGCACACAGGAGCAAGGGAGAGGAAAGAAAAGGCACGCATAAAAATGGACGATTTGAGAATAACTGTTGAAAAGTCGTGGATTCATGTATGAATTTAGAATTCGTTAGCAAACAGGATAAATGAATTTAGGATTGATTTGTTGGTGGTATCTACCTTCTCTTTATCTGTTCAGTTTGTAATAAGAGTCCAGATGAGAACTGCTGAGTCTTTTGTCCATCACTTTGCACATTCTTGGCCCTTTCTAACGTTCTTTCTCCTGATTATAAACATCACAAAGTTGTGGACAGATGTTTACAAAAATCACTCCAATACACCAAAAATGCACTGGTGCAGATATTCTGGAGCTGCCCAGTCTGGGACGACTGTGGACAACACTGTTTTGTCTAAAAATATCCTCATTATGGTACTCGGTAGTGACATGTAAATGATACTGGCGTATATGCTTTATTTATGCCTGTATGTTTTATGAATGGGAATAGTAGATGAGGATTTATTCCTTCCCCTGGAAGTTTAACACCCTGTAGAGCTGAAAAGACCAGGGTGGGGAGCTGGGCTGGCTGGCTTAAAGTAAAGACAGAGGGAAGCATCTGCCTAAAGCTTCAGACCAGCCTACATCTAACACTTCCTGCCCGTGGCTCACAGCAGGGGTCCACTGGCAGACAATCTGCATCCACATGAATGAGTGGGAGATGGTACAACAACAGTGGCAGATGTACACACATCCGTACATCTGCTAAAGAAGGTGCGGGGAACCATTTAAAATTGTACTTTTGACACTAAACCTTCTCCGGCTCTGTGACAACAGGGACATGGTTAAAATTGAAAGTACAATGGTCTCTGAGGACCAGAGTCGTCAGTGCAGCCTTTAAATGTTTCGTCTGTTTCAGCCCAGGAAACATTGTCATTATAAGCTGATTGCAACAAAATCTGATGCATCCTGACACCTATCTGTGAGAAATTCTTCATCAATTTGAGCTAATCTAGGTTGTCTATGTCTATATATCAGACCAGGCGGGCCAGGTTTTGTCCCCCATGTACATGAATATTCCTTGGATAGCCATTACAATGCTGTTGTCTCTTCTGTAGACTATTTTTGATGGACACTGACCACTGCAGACCAGAAGCATGGAACAAGAGCTGCAGTTAGTCAATTTTGAAGAAGAAATAGCCTTCATTGTCCCCAAAGGTGGACATTCAGATGCAACAGTGGCACAAAGATGCGCAGATTCACACAAACGGATCAAAAGGTGTTGAGAATATACATTAGAAAACTCAAAATTAACTGTAATAATACATTCTACAAGAATATACCACTTTAAAAACTATTGTGGAGTTATTATAAATAAAAACATGGGATGTGCAACTGAGAAGAATTACTCGAGCATGTGTATCAAACATTGCAAACTAAAAACTGTTTACAATATAGTATATCAGTGCAGTACAGAAAAACAGATGTACAGTAACAGCAGAAATGTTATTTAAAAGTGAGCGAAACGTTGCTGTGCTAAAGACAGCAGGGATGTAAATACATTGATTTGGTTGTAATGCTAATAGAGTAACAGCTGCTGGGAGGAAGGATCTACGATACTGCGATCCTTTGTGCATTTGTGATGCAGCAATCTGTCACAGACGTAGCTCTCCAGTTCAGCATCAGCTTCATGCATGAACTGAGAAACGGTGTCCATCAATGATGTTATTTTAGACAGAGTCCTTCTGTCTCCGACTACATGCTAAATTCACTGTAGGAAACTTGCTGATCCAGTCTGTTTGGTGAAATTTCATTATTTGAAAATGGTATAACTGTAAAAGATAAGAACCACACCAATATTTTATAATTACAGAAATTATGGCTGCATCTGAGGCAGCGTGAAGCAGCTAATGAAACTCCTTGATATATAGCCTTTAATGGGATTTTAGCTAAAAGAAAACTATCCTCATGCTTATCAATTAGCTGAATAGATACATTAAGTTATATATTTTAATCATCAGCTGAATGGTAGAACTCGAATGAAGCCTTGCTCTTGAAAATGGCTTTTTAATGAGGTGAGATAGTGACTTGTTTTTGATTTGTTAGCCCTTTATGAGCATCGTTTACAGCACTGGAGACGAACTCGCTTGGCAGCAAAAAAACAAAACAAAACTGTTTTTTATGGGGAAAAAGTTTTAGATGTAAATACGTAAATGCACCAATGGTACGGAGGTCCTCAAAACGGACCATGTGAAGTATATAATCCCCGAGCGTACAGCAGGTTGTTAATGATAGAGTGTGTGCAGTTCAGATACCGCAACAGAGCTGCAGTGCTTTATCACAGAGTGGCACATGTCCGCCTTCACTGAGAGACTAACCACGAGGGGCTGGCGGAGTAAAGAGGTGGGGGCTAAGCTCCACTCCTTTGGCAGACCTTTTGTGCAATTGGACGTAAATTGTAAAGGGAGGTGGGCATGTTTTTCAGTGGTAAAAATCACTGCTATTTCTAGTGAGAAGCTCTTTGGTGTGTTGGCGAGGAGTTATGACTAAGCCATTATTTGTTTCCTGAGGAGCAGCAGGATGCCCAATGTGCGAGATGAGAAAATGAGTGTACTTTGAGCTGGTGTCCTGCCTGCTGGCACCAATATGTAATTTCATTCCCTCCCCCCCCACCCCCCCCAGTTCCCGTCTGTGTATACACACATTCATATACAGTAGGTAGGAGGGAGTAAATAAACACTAACGCAACTTTGGAAAAAATCCTATGTATTTATACGACCGGCATAAGTAGATACACGTAGAGCTACGTGGGTATCCAATCAAGTTTTATACAAATAACATTTTTATGACGCCGTGTACTGTATGGTATACAATCTTATGCAAAATAAGAGAGATTCAAGCGCTTATTGGCTGTCTTTTTTTGTTTTTGTTTTGTTTTGCCTTTTGTTGTATTATGTGACTAAGAGCCATGAACTGCAGACATGAAAGCATCTCCATCTCATGCTATCATCAGGCAACACACTATACACCCTTTGATCTAAAGTGGGAGCTACCAAATGAAACACATGGCTGCGAGAACCTATTTTAAAGTGTACCTCGCTGCACTCTATTGTTCCTAATAACGCTCCCTAAAATTGTGCAGCTATTAATCAAAAAAGTTCATTTGAACTGTAGATGCTGCAGTAAAAACAGGTATTGTATGGCGCTGCAGTTGCATGTAGGTGGGAGAGGCAATTTGCAGTGCCGTTGTGTTCGAATTGTATTTAAATTATTCATTTTGTGCTTTCATAAAAATAAGAAATGCAACACAGTCCCTGCATGAATCTGTAAAGATGTTTAAAAATATATAAATATGAAAAGATAAATAAAAAAATCCATTTGTGAGACGGGATCTTTACGGGCTATCTATTTCAGTTTCCCATTGATTCCCATGTGCTGAAAGCAGCTGAATTTCCTGTCACTCAGAGGTCAGAGAAAGACACGCAATTGAAAATGGCACAAAGGAGCTACAGTGTGCACAGATCAAGAGAGAGCTATGAGCAAATGATGCAAAAGCA